CAACATATTTAAAGAAGAAAGTGGTAGTTGCTTGTGCTCATACATAAACATCTAATTTAGGACCGAAAATGAGCAATTATTCGAGAAAACTGCAAAACTGCAAAACTGCAAAACTTCACTACTTTGCGCTGGTAAATCAGGCGAAACCCTTTCAAACACACCTCAAATAAGGACAAGTTCTCACAGCGTAGATGATTAAGAGTCGATTTGACCATACATGATATTTTTATAAGCTGTTTCAATTTTTGACCAAAGTTAGGGCAAAAATACCCTCCTTAATGGGACACATCCTTTTTTTACTAAAACTGTAAATTTTTATGTTTATTTCGTTCACATTTTTTTTCGTCAAAATAAGGGGTCACTCTGATAGAAAATTTCACGAGAAAGCCAGTGGAACCATTTTTAAGACCTCAATGATCTGTATAAACGGAGTTACAAGCTTGTAAAGTTTTCAAATTTCACCCGACCTCTCCCATTGACTCGGTCCACTGTGTGTCGTGAAATCCCGACCATGGAGAAATCAAAGGTCTCTCATCCTTTGGCAACGTAGGGCGAGGAATCAACTGCCACTCTACCGCAGGATCGTCAGAATGACAGGAAAAATTACATTTTTCGGGCGCTTGATTCGAGATTTTCCGAAAAAAGGCAACGCTGATAATGTGATTGGAGCTCCGAAGCGCGGACCAAAAAGCAAACAAAGTTCGAGCCCAAGCTCCATTATGTATGCTCGCCGACACTTTTTCCGATGTAAAGTGGCGGGTTTAACCAGTCAAATCCTCCCGGATTCTTTTATACGAGCAATCATTGGTTTCTCAACATTCCGATCCGATTTTAGCGAAGTAAACCTCAACCTTTTATCGAGAATGGCAGTGCCCTCGTCATTTCCGATTGATGTAGGTCAGTGGGCTGATAGTTGAAATTGATAGACAAAGCGATAAAGAAAGAAAACATAGGGAGTATGGAGCGATCCTATTGGTTGAAAAGGGAGGTTCTTATAGACAAAGGGGGTAAATGATGGACTAACTGAAAGGTTTCTCGTTGGTTACAAACCTCTTCCTTGTCCTACCTACCTCCTTTGTAAGTTGCAACCACCCACTCTCATCAGTTGGATCCCTCCATATTCCTTTTGTCCTCTTTGTCTATAGCTTTGTACATCAATTTCAACAATCAGTGGGCCGATTATTGAATTTGATAGACAAAGCTCTAAATAAAGAACACCTAGGGAGTGAGGAGCTATCCTATTGGTTGTAACGGGTAGTTCCTATAGGCTGAGGGAGAAACTAACTAATGGACTAACTATCGGGTCTCTCGTGGGGTACCGTCAGTTAGTCTATCACTCACCTCTTTTGTCCATTGCAACCATCCGCTTCCACCAATAAGATCTCTCCATATCTCGTTTGTCTTTTTCGTCTATAGCTTTGTCTATCAATTTCAATAATCGGCCTGCAGCTCTCAGATGCTTATGTCACAGAATGGTATTCAATGGCTTCAATTGAAAATCGTTTGTTATCATTTCAATATTCTGAAATTCCTGGTTAAGTCTTAATTTTCAAGAGGAGACTCACCCATAAATGGATTACATTTTGCAGTAAGGAATCACAATCTTTGACTCACCCATAAAAGCACATATCTGCATAGGGAAACCAATGGCATGGATTTTGTTTCCAAAATGGGCCCGAAATAGTAGCTCCTTATTGCAAAATGTAATCCAAATATATCTCCTTGAAGTTTTCTGGGTACCTAAGCCCACGTGAGACTATCCCTTTCACTTTCCAACTGCTCAAGCAAGTCGCAATGCGCTTGTTTGCCTCAGACACCTTGACAAAAGGTTCTAAAATGTTGCATCCTGTCCACACAAACACTCCAGCCCTCGCGATGGTGGCGCGACAAGAGCTACAGCAATGTCAGATGAGGTTCGGTTTGAGGAGGCTGGGGGCTGGGGTGTACATTCGCTTAATTGAACGCTTGATTACATTTAATTAATCAATGTGTTGCGCGCCCGGTAATCGGAGGCATTGATGCTTTTCGCGGAATGAGTCATGCTCGTGATTTTCATTACATCGCTGCATAATGTATGATTTGATTAACTGTCGATGGATTCTGTCAGAAGGGAAGAGTTATAGTGGACCTGCATCGGTTCCATGCGAAGAAATGAGTTCCAGAAATTACATTCAGTAAGTTGGAATGGTGATGTTACATGTGTGAGGAATTTGCGATTTGACTATTGATTCTGATGTAAAAGGTCGTGAGAAACACGATGGTGCCACTGGTTTTCTCTGAAATTAACTCCCAAGCTTAAAAAAAGCTCTCAAGTTGAGGCAAAAATGGAGGGGATATCCCACCCTGCCTTGAGATTCCACCTCTACACCAAGACAAACTCTCCATGCAAAGATAGGGAGCAAATACATTAGCAGTGATGCCGTGTTTTCAGAGTCCCCAAATAAAGTGGCAGCCCTGTCAATGTATTTGCTCCCTATCTTTGCATGGAGAGTTTGTCTTGATGTAGAGGTGGACTCTCAGGGTAGCGTGGGATATCCCCTCCATTTTGGCCTCAACTTGAGAGCTTCTTTTGAGCTTGGGGGAGTTGATTTCATCAGAAAAAAACAGTGGCACCATCGTGTTTCTCGCGAACTTTTACGCAAGAATCAACAGTTAAATCGCAAATTTCTCACACATGCAACATCTCCATTTTTTAGCCAACGTGCGTTAAAAATCAGCATAAAGCTGAAAATCTCAGCTTGGCAGCAGGAAATTCAGGAGGCTGCGCTGCACTGAGGATTGGCCCAACAAGGCCGAAATGCCTCTGAAGTTGCCTCCCTGAATGGTTGTAACTAATGTTGCACCAAGCAGCGTATCTCTTTGAGGGTTTGTTCTCAAATGATTTTTTCCCCTCAATATTGAGATTTCCAGCTTTATGCTGATTTTTAACACACGTTGGCTAAAAAAATCCAACTTCCTGTCTTACGACCCATGCATCTACCGCAATCAGTTCGTGTAAATTATATTCGTTTCTTGAAAGTTTATAAATGACATGCAGCCACTAGCGCAAGAAAATACTTCGACAGGACACCTCGATATTTTCAACGAGATGTACGTTCTGTTTCTTTGTTGCTAACGTTTTTCATATTCCTTCATAATTTCTTAGTGAATTCGTTTGAATCTTCCTAACGATGACTTGAGAAGCAACATTTTGAGGGACTGTTGACGAAAGCCAGTGGCGGATCCAAAAAGAGTTGAAGGGGGGGGGGCTATTTGCTGATGTCAAGTGAGGGGGTCTGGAGGGATACTACTCAGAGCAAGAGGGGGGGATTTTCAAAAAATAACCCCTCCCAGATTGAAATTTAAGCAGTTCTACCCTACAATTTCTGGATTATTTGGAAGTTGAAATTGACGAATAGTACCTCTTTTCGAGAATTTTTATTTTGGTATACAGCCTAAATTACCTATTTATTTCTGCGATATTGAGTATAAAAACCTTTGGTTTAGTAAGTTGGTTATTGAGGAAATGTTTTCGGTAGTAATTGGCATCACAGAAAAAAGAAGTTAGGTCATATGAACCGAACGTTTGGTGTCCCATATCATTCAAATTATTTGGTTTGTCGAACTGAACTTTCGGTTCGCGTAACCGAACATTCGGTTCATACGATAGAACTTTGTTCATCAGATCACTTTAACGTAGAAGTTCGGTTACACGAACCGAAAGTTCGGTTTGACGAACTTGAAATTTGGTTCGACTAACCGAATTAGTTGGGATGATATGGAACACCGAATTTTGGCTCACTCGACAGAATTTTTTTCAGTGATGGACATCCACAATGCTTTTGTGACGATGCTTTTAAAGGAAAATTCGAACATCCTGACAACACTGGCGTGACACAATACAGCTCATAACAACTCCAAGGATATCATGGTGAACAAGATTGTTAATATGTGACGTGGAAAACTCTTGAGACTTAACAACCGCAACCATACGTTGTGCTTAAGAAAGCCAGAGCGCCTGCAATTTTATGTGTATGCAATGTGGCCATCCCGAGAACACGAATTGTTGCATCCAGATCTAGCCATAGAAAAACCCGGCGCTTCCTCAATTTTTTCCGCATGCGATTATAAACTGTGTCATTCGTTGCATTCATTTGTCGTCGTTGCACGAAGGTATAGGGCGGTATGAGAATTTAACCAAATTGGAAAAAGAAGTAGGTACATTAATAATAAAACATCACCACTATAAACTCTCTGACCCCATTTATTTACATTTTTGGTAACAGTTCGCTCTACCGTTCTCCGGTGCAAGGTAGATCGAGTCAAGCAGAGAGGTCGTACTTGAAATTTTTGACTGAAACTGGAAATTTTGATGTATATTTCGTCACATTTTAAATTTCAAGGGGTGATTGTGGAAGAAAATTCCACGAGGGAACCAATGAAACCACTTTTAGCACCTCTAAGTTTTGTATAAAGGGAGTTACAAGCGTTTAAAGTTTCCAAATTTTGTCCGACCTTTCCCATTGACTCAATCCACCGTGCGGCGCCAATTTTCACTATTTTGTGGCTATCGACAGGTGTTAGTACTCAACTGAGCCCGCTTTATAAATATTATGGGAATATGACCCAGGAATTTGTATTTTGCGTGATAAATTTGTGAATTCTCCCATTTGGACCGAGTTCATCAGAAAGGAACCAACCCACATTTTCGAAAAAATTGAGTTAAGAATGTTTTTGAGTTCCACTAGTCATATTTATTCCCCTGCCAAAAACTCAAAGTCGAGGAAAAAAATTAGTCTGTGTTAAAAGAGGTTAAAAGTTATTTTCTACATGAAGCCTTACGGAGAAGTAAAACTCTAAACCTCTTTTTCTTCGTTTTCAACTTTATGTAGTTTGGTTCCCTCTGTCAAACTCGGTTGAATTAAAGAATGTAAATATTCATTTTTTGTCGCACAGATCGTTCCAAAGATTAATAAACATGATTCAAGCGCTGCATTGCTCAAGTGAAATGACTGACTTACCTTCTTCAGAAAATGGAGGTCCGTAAGATGAAAACTCCCAATTCAGGGCGAAAAGTTTTTATTTTGAAGTTTTCCGCAAAACTTATCAACACAGTACCACTTAAGCGCTGCTTCCGCGAATTTATCACTCAATTTCTAGGCATAAGAGAAAACAAACTGTTGCATTAAATCCAAAAAGACGATTCATTTGGAGGCAATCACGGGACAAATAAAAGGATTAAAAAGAAAAGAGATATACAATTAGTTCTATAAAGATTTTAGGGACAAAATAAAGGATAAATTGGTTAAAATATCAACATCTAGGCTGAAAAGATGAAGACCGAGTTCAATGATAAGAAACCGCAAGATAAACAAAACTGTTTGGGATCATATGCGCAAAGGTCCTTGTTTTAAAAACTACGTTTTAAATCAAAAGAATGGAAAGATTAAGATATGTTTGATCGCCTCCAAATATGAGAATCGAACCGATTTGGAGAAAGAAAAAACCAATTACTCGCGCGAATGATGGTCTCCAAAAACCGAGGAGTATCCGAGGTCAGACAGACGTAGTACCAGACGAGAGACTACATTGGTGCATAACCTACAAACTTCAAGATGTTGCCAATTCTAAGGCGACACTCGTGACCTTTCAACTTTGAGGGCGAGAAAAAGCATGACAGTGTCCAAAACAGAGCGAAAAAAGACGAGCGATTACAATCGTGCAGAATCGGGGCCGCACATCGGGAAAATCGACGCGGGGATCCCGAGCGAAAAAGGGGCGACTTACGGGCGAGATTTTGAGGTTATGACTCGGGGCTGGGTCTGTAAACAGTCGGGACTCCGCAGCGCGGGGTATCGATAAAACTCCGTCCCCGGACGCAGCGACGAACGCACGGCCGAAGGGATCGGGAAAAACCCGCGATTTTCCGGGAAAAACGGAAGGACACGCTGGCTAATCCCGGAGGCTTTTCACATGGCAAGAGAAGACAGACTGCATGTTCGGGAGTCGGGAAAAGCGGTCCTCGGCGTGGAAAAAGCGCCCTGGCGGGAGGGGGTCGAATGCAGGGTGCAAACTCCGGCGGGAGGGGAGGGGGGGGGCAGGCCCGTTTAAAAAGTCGCGGTGGGCGGGAGTGAATAGTGATGCGCAGTCTTGGAGTTACCATGGCTACAGGCGGCCGTCCCGGTACAATCAATACCACTCCTGGTCCACCGTTGCCTCACCGTGCAGGATATCCCATTTATTCAAACCCTGTGCTAAGGGATGCTGGGCGACCTGACAGCGATGTCCTGGACCTAGCTCACCAGGTTTGTTTCAAAGCGCAGAAATATCACTCCGCTAACGGCAGCTCTGTCAGCGCGGATTGCGATACATCGATACCGCGATATATCGAACTAATCGCCGCGAGTCAAATCGAATTTCGCGAGTTGCCACGTGGCGAAGGGATTCGCGTGGATTCCCCTTATAATTTCGTCCAATTTCCGGGGCGATGGCAACGTCGCGTGTCTGGTCCTTGATTATCTTGTCGCAGCTTTTACGCGGTGCATGTGGATCTTTTCCCAATGCGGAACGGAGCCCGCCCGTAACTGCAGTACCGGCACAAATGGTCCTCCGAGCCGGATCCCGGTACTGGGCCATGGTTGCCATATTTCCTTGCTCCTCCGAGTTATATTCAATTTACCTCGTGCACAATTAGTANTGGCGAAGGAATTCGGGTGGATTCCCTTTGGGATTCCCATAATTTAATCGAATTTCGGAGGCGATGGCAACGTCGCGTGTCTGGTCCTTGATTATCTTGTCGCAGCTTTTACGCGGTGCATGTGGATCTTTTCCCAATGCGGAACGGAGCCCGCCCGTAACTGCAGTACCGGCACAAATGGTCCTCCGAGCCGGATCCCGGTACTGGGCCATGGTTGCCATATTTCCTCGCTCCTCCGAAATATATTCGATTTACTCCGTGCACAATTAGCACGACTTGGCGGTCCTGTGCCGGACTATTCCTTTATCGTTCCGAGCTTTCTCGTGGAAAGTGCACGGCGTCCTGATCTCTACACCCCGTTTCTTTTAGTTCCTCTCCCGCCCCCANCCGCCCCCCCCCCCGCCCCCGCCTTTTTCCGGCCGCGGGCTCCGTTCTTTTTTCTTTATTGGCTAATTTTACTCAGCCCTCCCTTCCCCCTTCCTCCCTCGCTTTATTTACCTACTCGCTACGGCAGTGCATTAATAACTCGTCTTGTTTCTCGCCTTTATCGGTGGCGCGCCGTGCTTGGCGATGAATCGATCTACCTGCCATTAAAACCTGTGGGAAAGAATCGAATTTCAGAGCGTAACTTAACATTCGATTCTTCACCATGATTTCAAATTGAAAAATATCGATAACCAATGATTCTACGCCTCACTGAAGACCTTTACCGCCGCACAGTTAACTGTGTTCTAAATAAATCCCTCTCTTCGATAAAACAAATTTTTGAGTGATGAGTAGATGTAAAAATTGCCGGGAAAGTCATTCAAGGATATGTCTAACATTGAAAATTATGTTGAGGAAAATAATGGGCCTGTTGCAAACTTTTGCTAGAGCAGAATGAAGAGTTGTTTTCTATAGATGATGCCTCAAAAATCACGATGAGCGCATCGGCAAAGTCTGAAATGCACTCATAAATTCACAATCTGCGTAAGAAATTTGCGTTATTTTGAGCTTCCCGCTTCAAAAACGATACTACTGCACAGGTGAACATTTTGTTAGATGAGTCCCTCCATCGTCGGCAATATTCATCATGGCCGACGCTTGCGCAGTTCCGCGAGTAATTCGAGGAGAGTTCAAGATCAATTAGGGCGGGCGAGGAAAATATAAACGTAAACACGCCGATTGTTATCTGGTTTAATCCTGTTCATATGTTATCTCGTCCCATCACAGGTGTTTCGGCGGACTGGCGTCGGCCATGATGAGTATTGCCGCCAATGGAACGACTCCTCTAACAAAATGTTCACCTGTACCGTAGTATCGTTTTCGAAGCGGGAAGCTCAAAAAACCGCAAATTTCTTACGCAGATTGTGAAGTTATGAGTGCATTTTAGACTTTGCCGATGCGCTCATCGTGATTTTTGAAGCATTATCTGTAAGGAACAACTCTTAGTTTTGCTCTAGCAAAAGTTTGCAACAGGCCCATTGCGTCTGTCTTAAGAAATTGAACTCAGTTGGAGGAAAGTCTTCCAAAACATGATTTTTATCCAGGCGAATCGAAGGATTCGACTATGTGTGTAGTTGATAAAAATCAGTTCCTTTTATCCCAAGAAATAAAGACCAAGGAATGTTCATTTTGCGAAGATACGAGATGTAATGTAGTATATTAATTCAAGAGCCAGCTCCGGAATGCGGTAGGCTAGAAATGTAAGTAAGTCTGTCACAGAATTACGTTTTTTGAGCTGAAAATTTCGGGCAGCCATACCCGGGTTTGGTTTGCTGGGTAAGCCAAAATGCTTTATAAATTGTCAGTGAGATGAATGTATGTCAACTCTGAGAAATTTGATACCAAGGTCCTTTCTTCCTCGGGCGGTTACATTAAGGAGGATTAGTGCCAAAATGAAGTATCTGGGTTTAGTTTGGGAAGTCGTAAGTCTGAACTAGGGGGCTATGCCCCCTGGCCGCTACGCGGCCCAGCCCCCAGAGGGCGCTTCGCCCTCTCTTACGCCCGCATTGACAAAAGAACGACCAAAAAAATGAAAAGATTTTCATACCCGAAAACCGCCATTTATTTCAAACTTCAGGTCTAGACTAAAACGAAACGAAAAGAAAAGAACGGAATCAAGCGTTTTGTTACTCTTGGATTGTCTGTAGTAAAGGAGCATACCTTCGATTCCCTTACCTTACTAACAGACCAAGGTCCACAATTTCCTGCTTAGTTAAATTTTCCACAAATTTGAAATTCCCGCCAATGAAAAATGGCGGGAATTTCAAATTTTACCCCCTTTATAAGCTCCCAGGCATACTCAATTATAAAACAATTTGGGTCATATTTCCAAAATTTGATTACAGCGGGCTCATCTAGGGACGATCACCTGTCGATAACCGCAAAAATTATGGAAATCGGTCCAGTTAAACGCTCAAACGAACTTTGACAAAAAAATAAAAATTTACATTGTTTAAATGAGAGAATTCGCAACTTTACCGCGCGATATTAAAAAAACCTGGGTCATATTTTCAAAATCTAAATAAAGCGGGCTCATCTAGAGACAATTGCCTGATGATAGCCGCAAAAATCAAGAAAATCGGCCCGGTAGAACGCTGGAACTGAGGTCTCGGAGCTTATATATATGATTTCATCTTCTGGTGTATGTCTGGGGCCAAAGCCCTGTTTGTCTGATTTAAGATCTATGTCGTCGGCAAAAAATTTCAAGAATCGAATTAGGGTCGCTTAACCTCTTCTTGAGAATAAAAATCTAGTATAAGGTTACCTGTAATCATCATCGTGTGCTCAGTTTCGTGATTTGCTTCGAATAGTTTTTCATTTTTATTTTACTAATCATTAAATGGTTGCGACCATCCCAAAATGTTCCAAACAGTTAGTTTAAAATATAATCTTGGTGACCCATTTTATCGTAAAGTTTTGGGCTATTGATAGCATACTGGTCTTTTTTGACTTAACTCAACATTTTCCGGCTGCAGCTATTAATCTGTTCCTCCCTTTGAAGAATGATTCGTGTTAGAAAATATTTAAAAAAAGGATCAAGCCCAATTCTTGATTTTTTTCAATTCAGCCATGAAGGAGAATGAAAATAAAAATAACTAATCACCGAAAAGAGCAGCGCAGAGTCGTTTGAAGCTGTGTGTGTCTGACGTGTGGCATCGCGCGGTTTTGAAGGAGTTTTATTCCTAGTTTTTCCAGAATACAGCGCACCGCCTGTTCTGCCGTGCTAACGTGTATAAAGTTTACAACTTTACAACTTTACAGCTTCACAGTTAATACACCCAGTATACTCTTGACATGTCGTCTTCGTCGCGGCTGGGCCGCACAGAGGGCCGAGTCAATTAGAGAAGTCGGACATGAAATTTTTGACTAAAACTGCAAATTTTTATATTTATTCCGTTATATTTTATATTTTAAGGGGTGCTTGCAATAGAAAATTTCACTGAGAAACCAATAGAGGCACCGTAAGAACGTTAAAGTTTTGTATAAACGAAGTTATGAGCTTATTTAAAGTCTCTAAATTTTGTCCAACCTCTTGCATTGACTCGATCCAATGGACCGTTCCTTTACATCTCGTAAACTCAAGACTTGCCAATATTGACGTAAATTTACGACAACGAAAAGTAACTCTGCTTGTAGACGAAAGACATAAAATCAGCAGCTCAGTTCTATAACCCAAGTTATACCACTTTGTTAAATCGATTTTACGGTGTCATTTATTTAATGGCAGGATAGGGTTACCCGCCAAATAGATACGGAAGGTGAAAGTTGCAGACTCGATTGTTCGACTGTAAGTAATGGAAGAAACGTACGATTTTTTTTGTTTTATCTAAATGTTAATAAATATTTCCTTCAAACAAGTACTAAACAAAGGAGGGTATGGATTTGATCGATATGAATCGATCTGTGAATAAAAACGTGAACCGATCGACGTGGTTCGATAGACAAACACGTGAATCGATCAACAAAGCCCCGAATCGATCGACGAAGCCGTAAATCGATCGGAACGGTGTCGATAGGTTCACGCATTCATTTTTCGATCAATTCATGTCGATCGAATCCATGCCCTCCCTAAAATGTGTCACTGTTCACTTTGACATTACTAAAAAGCTATCCTGAAGTGTTTACCTTTCCTTCTTTTGCTTTTTAAAAAGATCGAGGAATTTCAAAGGCTAGAATATGGTAGAGTTTGTTAAATCTTCAGACGCATTTCTACACAATCAAATAAAATTTCTTGCGGACCGTCCTTATAGAGCTCTAAATATTTCACCAGTACAAGAAATCCCTTCTTTTTTTAAAATATATAGATATAAGTTGACGAGGGAGGGCCCGATTTTTTTCAATCCAGTCCCTTC